AAATTAAACTGCATAATGTAGATATAGACAGTGAATAGTAAAAGTTAGTTAGATGGTAGTTAGAATATAAAATGCAGTCTTCACGTTATTTTGATTCTAAAAAAATTTCATTTCATCTTCTTCTCTCGGTAAACTAAGATTCTTCGTCCAACAATGAATGATTTCTTGAGTTCTAACAGTTTTTTTTTTAATTAAAACAAAATACACCGTTTTGGGCGAACACTCAGTTTTCAATCAGGTTTAAGTTTTACGGTCTAACCGGTTATAATCCCTATTTTTTCATAATAACCCCTTTCGTTGTAATCTACGTTTATAGTTCAAATCGGACCGGACAAGGCTTCACGGTCCAATTGATTGATCGATCGTCCGGTCTAGGTTTGAAAATATTTTTTAAAACTAAACTCCACGACTTTAAATTATTATTTCATCAATAAAATTAAAAATAAGCAGGTTCAGTTTGGAACTAGCAAATTGGACGACCCTTAACCCTTTGAGCAATCCTCCCTATAGGCGGGCCGGGATCAGATCCTGATATTTGTAGCCAATGGCCTTGTGGATTCAGACTCGTCGGACGTGTCTATTTGATTAGTTTTAATGGATGTAGAGGCCTCCGCATTTGCATATGAACCATATTAAATTTATGAACAGTTTATTCTAAGGGGTTATTTGGTAAACACTTCTGGATAATAATATTCTTTCAAATTAGGATATTGAAATTTTCACAATTTACTAAAAGTCTTTTATCCATTTATTTTCTTGGACCCCTCCATCCATCTTTGTTGCAATCATTAAGATCAGCTCCACTCTTGCTCTGCACCGCTGCCATCACCGAAACTCTTCCATACACAGTCACACACACGCGTTCATGTACACCCAAATACTGACGCACGCACGCACGCACGCACGCACGCACACACACACACACACACACACACACACACACACACACACACACACACACACACACAAAGAGTGATGCACACCCACGCCACTCATACACGCACATATAATCACATTCACGCACAATAGTTGTATGAAAAATCAGATCTACGTATTTAGTTGGTTCACTTTGTTTAGCTACAGGATTTGGGGGAGAGATGTTTGCAAATAGGTAAGTATTCCAGATGACCACTGAACCTAACTAAACTATGTAGTTAAATTCTATGCGTAATTCTAAGTCTAAAATCTCTAGATGAACTCTTAAAAAAGACCTTCCCCAAATAGCAAAAAATCGTGTATTTTATTAAAGATCAAAACTATTTTTGACGGAGGAGGAGCTAATTTCACCTTGGGTAAATTACAACCACCTTTTTGAGCTATGGTCAAATTAAGAAATAACCTTCATGTTTTGGTTAATTACAAGTTACCCTCTCAACTATGAATCTTCTTACATGTCCACCCTTATGGTGTCAAATTCAACATAATCTTCTAGATTCAGTGGAATGTTCTCTAGTTTGGACTCGATTTGTGCAAAAATACAGTTTGTGATGCACCACAATCTAATATATACAAGCCAAAAAACATATCTTATGATCATCTTGCTTCAATTATGTTGAGCTCAAATGGGATAAAATGGGTACAAACTTGAACATATTCCATATAATCTAGAAGATTCGACTAAATTTGACACCGCAAAGATGAACATAGAAGAAGTTCGTAGTTGAGGGAGTAATTGTAATTACCCAAATAAGAGGGAATTTTCGTAATTTGACCATTCCTTGAGTGGAAGGTGGCCATAATTTATCCTTTCACCTTATTCTAAATTTCATTAATTTTCATAGTTCATTAATTTGACCAAATCGTTGGAAAATTAATCATGTTATATAAAAGGAATAATTAGTGAAAATCCCCCAACTCATTTACTTATATTAAGTTGGATTAAACCCTTTTTCAATATTAGTGAGATCCCCCTAATTAGTTATTTAAATAAATATTTTTTTTAAAGTAATCTCTCCAATTTAACCTTCTATCAATAATATATAATTTATTTTGTCCACCTCAAACCCTAACGACATAAAATCATCGTCTCTTCTCCTATTCTCTCTTCTTCCACAGCACACTTTCGCCTCTCCACCTCAGCGCCGCCGCCATCCCTCCGCCACCTTCGTCTCATCTTCCTCCACTATCCTCTGCGAGCGTTCGTCACCTCCGCCCCGACATCATCTCTCGATCTTCTTTGTTTCCCCTCACCTGTCTTCGTCTTCGATCCACAATACCGCCACAATCGCTCCCCCTGCCAACACCGTCGGCACATCCGCTGCTGTGTAGGCCGAGCCAACATTCCTCCGCTTGCAATCTGGTTATCTTCTATTTATTTTCTTAAGTATAGTCCCTTTTGCTATTTTTTTCCTTTTTTAGAAAATACTATATCAATTTTTAGGAAGATTTTGGGAATTTTTTTTGGAATTTTTGAACAATTAAGCCCGACGGCCATCTTTGATTTATTAATAATTAAAGAAATTTGGTGGGGGATTGTCCTTGGTGGACGTTGATTTTTGTGGTGGGTTAGAAAACATTTTTCAAAATTTTCATTTTTCTTGTGTACTATATTGCAAGATTTGGTGTTGTAGCAGATTGGCGTAATTTCATAAAATAAATCAAAATGTGGTGGGTTTGGTGGCTTATGATTTGAGAATTTTCATATTGGTAATATTGTATTTTCATGAGTATCGTTATAATTTATATGTTGTAGCAGATTTAGAAATTTAGCAAATCATGTGAATCCACTATTTTTTTTAGTTGTTTTTTCAACAATGTAGTTTTATAAATGTAACTTTTCTATTTATTATTTTAGGGTTAAGGTACTTTTGTATTTGTATCTTTTACTTTATAGATTTGTTACCATTGTATACGTAAAAACATGTATACTTTTACAATTGATTTGTGTCTTCAGTATGTAAACAGTAGGGTTCAAGTACTGGATACAAAGAAGAGTTAACGAAGAAAGA